ACCCCATCTTCTACAGCCCAGTAGCCAGGGAACATAGGTTACCTGGCCCAGGTGGGCAGAAGAATGCTGACCAGTACACGTGAAGATGCACATGGTAACAAAATGACAGAGCTGATCCCGGGACTCTAAGCAGAGGGGGAACCTGGATGAAGTGGGGAGAATGAGAAATCCTGAGGCCAGGACCAGAGACAGATCTAGAACAGGGAAAGGTATCTGGGGATATGTGAAAGAACTTGATGTGCTCCTGGTGTGGAGGACCACCTGATTAGCTCTCCTTGAAAGAAGAGCGATTGTCTCCATTTTGACTGAGCCTGACCCTATTTCCTCGTATTGTTCTGTACAGAGCTGGCTAGGACTTCTGTTTATCCTTCAATTGGCCTTAAGCAATGTATATTGGTCTAGCTGAGGTGCTGGTGATAGTCTTTGAAGGTGGCATGTGTGTTTCCCTGATAACCTATACCTGCTACTCTTTAATGTGAGCTGGGTTGAGACAGGACGATAGAGCTAATGCTCCATGGCGCCAGCTGGCATCGAGCCTTGAGACAGAGGCTATGACTTCCTGGGGCTTGAAAGGCTACACCAAAGCTAAAGCACCAGACTTACCAAAACATTAGATACTATATAAGGCAGATTACTCTCTCTGCATATCCTCTTTGCATATCACAGAGGTAAATTTAGGCCACCCACCTAGCTCAGCTCATAGTAGTCACTTTCCCACAGTTCTCAGTCAATCCTCAAGCCACTCCCTCACTGAATAAAACTGGGTGAGGCCCTGGGTCGCTCACTTGGTTCCAGAAAGCCATCTTCATGGCTGGACTTAGAGCCCCGTGACTCCCCGCTGATTGAAGATGTAATTTAGTGTCTTTATTTTCGCCGTGGGTTGCATTGTAAGTGGTAGATTGGAATCAATTTGATGGGATTCCAATAACGTAACTTTGGGATTACAAATATTGGCTTCTTGGACCGAGACGAGGACCTGGAAGTGTCTCCTACATCCTGGTCTCTAGCTTCTGTCACCCACACATAGTGTGCACTCAAATCTTAATGAACCTGGGAGCTCTAGGGAAAGCACAAGACAAGGAAGGGAAAATAACTAAGAGAAATCGTGCATCTGACTCCAGAGAAAGCATATAGTGCATGAGGAGGGACAACACTGCACGAGAAGAGGAAAAAGAGAGCCAGAGAGATCAGGAGTGACTGCTGGGATTTCCAGGAACTCTGGAGAATCAAAGAACACTCGACATTCCAAACATGTGTTATGCTGCAGGAAAGGTGGATTGCGGACAGTATGTGGAGACAAGGTAATGGTGGGGGATCCATGCCTTACCCTCGGTCCTGGGCCCCCTGCAGTCCAACCTCAGTGACTTCTCTACACCATGCCTGCAGCTCTGGGTCCTGCTTCACAGCTTCATCACTCTTGTAGAAAAGCCCAACCATCCTGTTCACATACCTGTTCCCAAGGGAAGAAGGAGCTCAGGCTCTGGCAGCCGGTGTGGAACCTACCGTGCCCCGCGGTCTGTCCCTCTCCATGTCACCCTCACCGTTTGATGATTTCCCAGAGCCTGAGGGCATCTTGGCCATAGAGAGAAGATTCCACACCTAGGAGCTCACGGTCAGCCAGATCATCAGGAGGACAGAAGGAACGATATGTCAAACAAGTTGTGGCTCTCTGGAGAATGTCCACGTGGCCACCACTGCCTGTACTCACCACCTGAGAACAAAGCAAGGTTGGCCAGGCCAGGCCAAGCCAGAGACAGACAGACAGACAGACACAAAGACAGACAGACACAAAGACAGAGACAGAATAGAACCAGGAGGTTATTCAGTTATAGAGTAGATCATTGTGAGGCCTCTGGTAGATGCAGCAGTACTTGGGGGAGGACTGGGTACAGGAAAGCTCCTCTGGAATTCTAACTCTGAACCCTCCTCCCTGTTCACCATCCCTTTTTCATACCAGATCAAAAATTCCATATTCAGAGACGAGGTTATTCCGGGCCAAGGTGTTGATATCCATGGTATAGCGAAAGTGGGGGATCAGGAGCTGATTGTGAGGAAAAGGAAAGGAGCACCTATAAGAGCCCCCAGACTGAAAAGTGGGAGCACAAATGAAAGGTTCTTTCCTTTAAGAAGGAAAATGGAGAGGCTGAGTCTTGGTGAGAGACAAGACTTGGAAGAGACAGCAGGACAAATATTTCTTTGGCTCTCCCAAGATCAAAGCTTTAGGAGTCCACTAATTTGCAGTCTCATACTGTTCCTCAGAATTACAGGAATGTCTGATCTCACATCACACACTCTAGCAGGCTCTCCACACTTCCCCCTTCGTCTTCCCTAGCACTTCACCCCCACAACACACACCACACAAACATGCTCAGTGTTGGATTCGCTATAAAAGGAAACCTTCCCTGACCCACCCCTCTCCACAGCCTCCTTCTCTCCATTCCCCTTTCCACAAAGTCTTTGCAGCCTTAGTGTGGCCTTTGCCTCCTCACTACAGATTCTGTTCAGTCCGCACCAAGCAGACTTGCAGTGCTGCCCCTTCCTCCAGGGAGCACTTGCCAGTGTATTCCCCAGTGCCTTCCACACTACCACATCCTGCCTGCCTTTCTCTGTAATTCTACAAAACCTATCCTCAGCGCTTGAGGTAGACAACTAACTTCTGTGGAGCACTTTCTTCTCCTGGCTGCCAGGAATCACACTGATTTGTTTCCTGTAACCTCAGTGGTTACATGCTTTTCTCATGCTTTTTCTTGCTCCAGTTTCTGTTCAATTTTTTAAGAAAAAATTTTTGGTCAGGGAGATAGTTCAGTGGCATAAGCACCTGCCTGGCAAGTGCAAGATCCTGAGATCAAACCTCAGTACCAAAAATTATTATTTATTATTATTATTATTTATTTGGTACTGGGTCTCACTACACAGCTCAGACTCATAGTGATCCTCCTGTCTCAGCCTTTCCAGCACTGGGATTATAGGCGTGTGCCACCATGCCTGGTTTCAGGATGACACAGCACACCCAGGGTTTCTCGGGCCAGCACTATCTCCCCAGCCTTTTCTGTTCCATTTTTAAAGTTGGGAAACCCTAGAATTATATCCAGAGACAGATGTTCTGCTGTGTCTATGAACCCTAGAAAACTTTATTTAGTATAATGGTTTTAGACACTTGTCTTTCCGATAACTCTAAATACAATCCTGATCTCTTTCAGCAATTCCAGGCCCATCTGTCTAGCTGCTCTCCTGACATTTGCAGATGGATTTCTGTAGGCACTGAGAACTCCACATGGCCCTGTCTGAGCTCTCTTTTCCTCTCCCCACTGAATAACTTGATTTTCTCTCTCATCTTTCATTTCCCTTTCCTCCTACCCAACATTCCAACACCATCATCCTACACTTCAGTCACATCTTAGATCCACCATTATCCGTACTCCTTTCTTTCCTCCCTTCTACATCTCCCTTTGTCTGGAATGCCTCCCCACTATCCACCTGACAATGCCTCCGTCAAAGTTTCAGCTCCTCTGGAAAACCTGTTCTCTTTGCCCAACTCAAAGCAAATGTGTGCCTGAGTATTTCCACAGCACACTGGTGTGGATGTGTGTGTGTGTGTGTGTGTGTGTGTGTGTGTGTGTGTCTGCGTGTATCAACTAACAATGCAGCCTACCTAACCTAGTAAGCCACAATGTTAGACCGTGGGCAGGCTCCTATGGAGACTAGGAGGAGAAGCAGGGAGGGTAGTTAGATGCAAAACCACAGAGATTAGATTCAGAAGTACCTTGTAGATAGGATGAAGGCTCGGCAAGCTCCTCATTGTGGCCACAGAAATGGTCTCAGCCACCAGATGTCCCCTTAGCAGATGTGACTGTAGCTGGTGCAGCTGGAAATCAGAGCTACGGACCCATATCTTGGCCAGCAGCCAGGCCATGGGGGGATCTGAAGGCAGGAAGAGCAGAGGTGGAGGTTGTCCCTGTTGAGGTGGCTGGAGCTATGAGGAGAGAGGATGGAAGCTGAAGACCTGTGGGCCTAATTCCCCAGAGGAGATCAATGCACAGGAAAAAAGATAACTGGGTCCTTTTACCTGAATGGCCATGGGTAAAAGTCTTCCATCTGGCTGTAGCTTCAGCATGACCAAAGGGGCTGCCACATACTGCTGCTTAAAGGCGATGACATTTGGCTTAATTCCATCCAGCAGGGAGAAATCAGCTTCAAACAGAGATCCAGCCTGGAGGGGTGGGCATGGGGACAAGGATGTTGGCGTCACTGCTGGACCTTCTCTCATTTGCC